GAATTTCTTACTGAATGCATCTCATTGTACTTAAGTGCTATGAATCCAGTTCAGGAATTGAATTTAAGGAAAATAATATCTTTCGAATCATTTTTAAGTGTAATGTTTTCTATTGGCCCAATGGACCCAAGCATCTCAAGCCTGGCAGTAAAACAATCTATGACATATAAGGAAGTTGGACTATCTAAATGGACAGTATTTAACTAGCTGTCTGAACATTATTTTCATAAATTGTGCGAATCTATTTTAAATAGTGAGCACACTAGATATTTGTAGAGAGAGGAACAATATGGTAATAATACACACCTACTTCATCCCTTTTTCTTTCTTCCCTTAGATTTTGATATGACATCTAGCACCAGCACTTATTTTTATTTTCTATTTTATCCAAGCAGAGTGAAATCATCATGAAAATTTTACAGCTTACCTTGCATTTTAGAAAGCAAGTTGTTAGGAGTGTTTTTTTCTATGTTTTACCATGCAAGTACAGAAAGTGCAAAAACATTATGTCACAGTCTTCTTAAAAATGGTGTAAAATATGTGAAAATATAAGTTCTGGGAGGAAGTCTGATTTTACCCACCAGTATTTCAGTAAATGTTGTTGTGTGAGAAATGGCAACAGAGAGACAGTCTGACAAAACTGGTGTTTGACATGGAAGAGCATTTGAAGCAAAGATGTGGAACTAAGTTCTTCCATGTGAAAAAGACTGCACACACTGATGTTTACTGATGCTTGCAGAACGTTTATGGAGAGCAAACAGTGGATGTGAGCACAGTGATATAGTGAGTTACGTGTTTCAGCAGTGAAAACAGCAACGTGAAGGATAAGTCACATATGAGATGGTTAAGTGTAGCTGTCACACCGTGAAATGGAGAGTGTCTCAATCAGCTAATCCATTTGGATTGGCTAATGATGGTGAAAAAAGTGTTTTGTAGTTGAGAATTTTCTCTGTCTAGTAGTATTATTGCATTCTTTGTATCTGTTGTAGTTTGCAGGGAAATAAATAGGAGGCATTACTTTCAGAAAAACCCACATATATCTGGATGGTAGTTAAGTCAGATATCACATTGAGGGCAAAGCAGTGGGTTTACATTCTTTGCAATGTATTTCAACAAAGTCCATAAGTGGAAGGAGAGACTGGTACCCCAAGATCAGATAATGTGTAGAAGAATGTATTCTATTTACATAGTAGATACTGTTTATGTTTGGTTATATATTCATATATGCAGTTATGAATAATGTTCTGTCTGGTCATTTTAATTTTATAGGCAATGTTTATGTTGTTTTAGTTACCTGTATGTCTTAGTCAATAAACCAAAGCTTGGAACAGACAAGGTCTGATGGTCTGATTTTCTTCTTTGGTCCAGCTGAATATTTAGCTCAGTATAAGTCCTATTTTCTTTTGGAGTTGGGTAGCTGGATGTTTATTTGTCATATTTGAGATGAAACTAAATGAAATGAGATATTGGAAGTGGTGACCATGATATATCCAGGCTGATACACCCTGATTCTCTGCAGCAGAAAATACTCTAGAAAGAGTTATTTTAACAGAGCTATATGCTTGCAAGGACCTCAGCTGGCTTATCAAAAGCTTGGGTGTAACTAAATGTCTCTGAAGTATCACAGTTAGACTCAGCCTTTTGTTTGCAGACTACTTGGTCCAAAGAAAGACAGAACTGATTTTCCCTGGGTTATTGGCAGAATAATTATTATTGTGCTATGTTTTAAGCTCAGCCATCAAAATAATCTTTCCCTTCAGCGTTATGAACCTGTTAGACCTGTCATGCTTTAAATCATACTTTCCAGTATTAAGCTACTACAGCTTATCAGAAGCTTCTCAAAGCAGTTGCAGTGGGTGTGTGCACTTAATAATGAAAAGGCCTATATTTAAATACCTCCAGTGTGTTTTGACAACTTACTATTACATTAATTTAAATTCAGACAAACAGTACCTTCTTGTTCCTTACACTAGAAATGAACAAGAGAAGGCAGAAAAATGCATAAAATAAGATGTCATTCGAAACCGGTTTTTAACTATGGTAATATTTCATCTTCCCGGCACTATATAACAAGGGTTATCATCTTCCCAGTGCTATAACAGTGTAACATTCTTGTTTCACAATTGAAGACTTGCAGTCTTGCACAAACTAGGGAACAGAGCCCATTGTAAAGTCTGGTCCCTGAGATGAGGCATGCATCTCTGCTGCCCATGTCAGAGCTGCTCTGCAGCTTGCTTGATGCAAAGATGCAAATGCAGCTGTTCACTTCATCCTTGACTCCATTCATTTGCAGTGCCTGCAAAAGTATGCCATAAAGACATGGAAAAAGCCATAGCAGCCTTCATTGTGTCATGTCTTTGTATCAAATATTGGGCCCTATGATCTCTACTAGTGGCTGTTGCATGACAAAGGCTGTTTATACCCTGTGCATGACTAGATTCACACCACTATATAACATGGGATACTACACTGTCTGATACTTTAGCAAGAAGAGTGAGCTATCTGCAAAACTTGCCAAAATTATACAGTGCCAGTGAAGAGGGTAGAAGCTGAATCTAGGAACCATAAGTTCACTAAGACGGCAATCTGTTACATTATTATTATTATTTATTAAAATCTTATTTCCTCAAATATAAATTCCAAAATATTGAGAAGATAAAAGATATATTTTTATTGCAATAAATTATTATGGAAAACTATTTATATAATTCCATTTACAACAGCAATAAGAATATGTTTTTTATAATAACAAAATCATAATTCCATGGCAATAAAATAGGAATGGCATTCAGAGGGTAATCTAGCTGTAAACTTGCCTCACGTTTGCACAGATACACTGCAGTGTTTTGAAGATAAACAGAAAACCTATAAAGCAAAGTAACTTCTGCAATTGTAAAAATACAAACAATAAACTGTTAACATTCAATATCTTTAAGAATAAAAACTCATACTAATGTGACAAACTCTGGATTAAAAATCTAAAATTTAGTATTCTCCCTTTGAAAACATATTCCCATTCTCCAAGTGTAGTAAAAAAGCATATGTTTCTAGTAATACAGCTCTAACAATGTACTTTTGCCTACAGTGCATTAATAATTGATTGAATTTTGGGCCAGTCTCCAATGATTTTTTTTTTCTCTGAGCATAGAAACAGAAGAAAAAAATCATTCAAACGAAAACATTTTATTTCACAAGATATATTTAACAATTTGCTATACCAACATATCATTTTGAACTACACATATATATATATGTATATATATATACACACTTAAGCTGAACTTGCTACCAAAGACAGTTTGAATCCATTATGACACTCAAAACCAGACATATCAACTTACAAAGTATACTGGGGAAAAAAACAAACAAAATAACCACCATCAACAAAGCCCAAAACCTGACCAATCTATCATAATCTATCATTTCTGGCCTAAACTTCTTTTCTGTGAATGTGCTAGCTTTTACCAAGTGTCTTGCTCCAATTTATAGGAAGGAGAGGAGGCTCTTAATATATGTATACCTGATGGTGAGATTGAGACACAACAGGTCAAATATTAACTCGACCAGTTTATTACAAATCCTAGTCATTTTCAGAGATGAGGAAGGGAAGATAGGTGATAGAAAAGATAGGAAATAAAAGCAAGGAGTCTTTGTAGGAAGCAAGAGGGAGATAGTCACAACCTTGTGTCCAGTGTGGCTCATAGTTCAGACCTTGATATTCAGTAGTGTTGGGTCGTCAGGCATTGTTCCGTTGACGATGACAACTTTCCAATGGTAGTACAAACTTATTTATAAGTCCAGAGTGGTTGAGCCAGATCTCTTTGGAGTGACAGCTCAAATCCAAAGTGGTTGAGTCAGCTCTCTTTGGAACAGCAGTTTCTGGTTTTGGGATCTCAGCAGAAACTCCTCTGTTCCCATCTTCTGGGCCTTGCCAGCACATAAGAGGGAGCAGGGAGGTGCCCACCTGCATCTGTTTTTCACAGGACATGATGGTATTGTTCCTCAATTTTCACATACCAAGATGGAGTTATTTGCTCATAGGCCAGATCTTCTGCCAGTAAATAATCCTGAGCACTCTCTTCTACAGGCAAACAGCTCCAAAGAAATGCTTTCAAATGTAAAATTGTCCACACAGTGATGTGAACTGCCACACAGCAACACCCACCTCTCATCCCCTAGATAAGTCAGAGTCTTATCACAAGAAATGCCTCAGAAAGCAATTTTATGGCTTGACCTAATGAATGTATTTTAAAAGAAGTCACAGAAGGACTATTTCATAGGATGAAATTCTTTAACTTCAGAAATGACACAGGTGGTAAATTATGAAGTAAAAAAAAAATAGAAATCATCCAAAATTGGAGATGTTGCACAACACAAAAGGAGAAAAGTGCAGATGTGGCATTGAGGGACATGGTTGATGGTTTTGTGGTTGGACTAGATGATCTTAGATATCTTTTCCACCCTTAAGGATTTTACAATGCTATGTTTCTGTGAAGGGTATCACCAGAATTAATGAAAAGGTAGTTACTCTGCAAACCCACTAAATCCTCCAATATGCATTAAGCTTGAAGGAAAGGAATGGCTGCTGTAGAGAACAGGGTTAACTTTAATCTATCTGCATACTGCCCTTGATAGTAGCTCTAAGACTATCAATAATCTTGTCCAGATAATACCTGAAGAGTGCAGAAACTTTATGTTATAGTTAACATTTTAATAAATTCAATTTTATCTCATTTATGCAAATTATTCTGAAACAAATATTGATGTCTTTGCAATTACTAAGCATGACTTTTCAAACTCTTTAGACAAAATTTATCTCTTGTAAATATTACAACTCACTAATTCTAACAGTCTCTGTAATGATACGACTAGGATGAAAAAAATGCAGAAATCTATTGTACACAGGAAAGCATTGGAGGGTAGTGCACATCTAACCTTGATTTTGAGTTAGTGTTACTGCTAAAAGTGAATACATGAGATATTACATGGTAAATGGCTAAACTAACTGCTGATTAATCAAAGCTAGATCATCAACTGCCTAAATTATAATATTATTTCTGCTTCCTTATGAGATGACTTATATCTCAGGTTATATTATTTTTTGCTTCTTTATCGGATGACTCCATGGATCACAGAGTATAAAAATCTGTCTGATTTGCTGTTTGCTTAACCTTCATGTGAACAAAATGGCTTCTGAGTAATAACTGATCTTCCTCAGTTCAAGTCAGCAAAACCTTCTGGCTGGAATATTCTATAGGATAGGTACCTAAATAAATGTGAATAAAAGAAAAAAAAAGAATGATTTAAGATTGTTTTCCCCATTTCTAACTGAGTTAAAATTTTGTTGATAGAGGACAAAAAAAGTCTAACCACAAACTAACATTTTATCAGCGAGATTCTGAAATAGATTGAAAATATGATCAAAAAGACTAAAAGAAAACACATTCCACTGCTTATGTCCTAGTATGAAGAGCTATGTTTTTAATTTAAATGTAGAGTCCTGATATTGTAGGGTTAGAATTCAGTATTTTAAAGCTAACATTTATCAGTAATTAACTTAGATCAGGATCACAATCTTTCCACTCATACTCAGCCTAGACAATAACTATGGCAATAGTGCTGATTATAATGGAAGTCATTACTTCATAACAATAAGAGAGAACACTGAGCATTTTGATGTGAGGGATTTGTGCTTGTTTGTTTGAATGAAATTATCTTGCTTTTTCATATTTTTCATATAAATAAATATTTTATTTATTTCTTAGTTTACAAAAAGAAAACGGTTTCTTACTAACTATCTTCTATAGATGTGATCTGCAGTGACAAAGGACAATGGACAGTGTATTTTCACTCCCAGGTTCAGCATAAAAACCTATACTTCTGCCTACACTCTCAAAATGAATGGACTTACTTGGCTACTGATGTTAATTGCTTTCTCTTTGAGCCCAAGAACTTAAAGAGCATTTCTGCGTTTTAAGTTAAGCCTCCTCACTAGGGAAAAACTTCAAAAATGGATTAAAAGCATTGGAATAATATAAACTAGTACCTTCTTCTCATTCATTAATATGCATACTGTGCTAATCTAAGCTCCTTTTTTAGTCTTTTTACCTGCCTTTCCCCAGGCAGTCCCACACTTTTTCCCTCTTATTTTCATAAATTTATCAACATGTTACATCCCACTCTTTAACGTGATCCACTATATTAATAGGAAGAAGACTAAAAATGTTTATAATTTGTAATATGAAAAATAAAAGAGTAAAGATAAAGGGACACAAAGGAACAAAAAAATGACTAAGTAAATGATATAATTACATTATGGCTCATCTAGTTGAATATGCACTATTTTCTTAGTGCACTGGTAACTCCAAATATACATTATTAAAATATTTCTAAATGGGTGGATGAAGTTGTGCTTAAGGCATCTAAAAAAGCAAAAAAAGCTAGAAACTGAATCAGTAACTTGCACTAATGCATTAATACATTTACAAAATTTCGAAGCCATTTCACCAGAATACACCTCTTTTATTGATTGCCTAAGAATACTTTACTGTAATCTCTGAACCTGTCTGCTTTTCAAAAGCACACTGATTACTTAGGTAATACTAGACTTTTCAAAATGCTAGCTATTCTCTAGTTGCTCTTGAGAAAAAGAACTTGAGACTTCATACAGGTAAGGGTTAAATATACAATGTACTTGTAAAATATTTTCAGCATTTCAAACTAAATCTGGTACTCTTTTGTCACACATGTAGCAGTTGCTAAAAAAATGACAAATGTAGCATTCAGAATGTATATTCAAATCTGTATTCAGAGAAATGGTAATCAGTGGAGAATATTAAGAACATGGCGAACTTGAAATAAATAGATGGAGTCTGAGAAAGCTTTTAGAAAAATGTGAGTTGCCCTTTTACTAATACTCTTTTATAGGCATCCAATTACAGCCACTTTCAGAGTTGAAATACCAAAGAAAATAAATGAATTATTGGCCTGACTCAAAAGAATTTAGTTTGCAGGTTTTGCCACATAATTGAATTTCATGCATCATTATATTTACGTTCTCTTTAAAGGAAAAGAGGAAGAAAAGGGCAAGAAGGAAAAATTGGAAAACAAACAAACAAACAAACAACAAAACAGGCCTTATTAGAAGAAATGTCAAATTCCATAAATATTGGTCAATATTATGAGCCACGTTTATGTTTTGGATAGGTGTGAACCAATTTATAAAATGAGAATGAAATCCAAGTACTACCTTACAATTAAGAACTCAAACACAGCACATTAAAGAGATAGTGTAACTCCAACTCAATCCCTGGAGAGCATTCAAAAGCAATAAACACAACGTATTTGGACTACAAGTATAAAATGACTGTGTATCTTAGCATATAGGGTATACATGTGCATGTGTGTGTAACTGATGTCAATTGTTTGAGTATGAACAGAAAATAATTTTAAGAACTGGCTTTGAAATTTCATGGACACAAAAACGTAACAAGTACTTGCTCATTTCTCTGAAGATTTTCTTCTCATTTAGAGGAAATTGTCTTCACAAAGTTTTCAGCCCAATCCCTTTTGGTCAGAAAAGTGGACCAGTAATTGACTAATAATGAACTATTAGAAAGGGAGTAATTGTCCTGACAAAATGAAAAACATGTCCTTGCAATGATTTTTTTCTTTTTTTTTTTTTAAGATACTTTTGAAGATATACCCCCAAATGTCTCATTGCCAAGACAAGAGATACGGGCAATTTGGCTAAGAATTACTTCCTTGAAACAGTTTAGTTATTTTTGTGTCTCTAATGAAACTCAACATTCTGTTCCAGCCTAAAAACATCTGTTCTTTGGATGGAAAAAAAAAAAAAAATTGAAAACATTTTATGTATCTCTTAAAGAAAGGATTTTGCCTGGCTAAATTACCATTCAGTGTGCTGTAGCCCAGAGAGACTGTTGAACTTGTGCATTAATGTGTTTATAGACCTTATCAGGTTAGCAAAGATGAAGAGAAATGCCTGGATTGTTTTATGTATGTTTCTGCCCTTCATCAACAAAGCTATTACAAGATAGTTCAAATGCTCTTGATTAAATTTGTGCTTGTGATCTTTTTATAGGAAATTACACTGGATTTTCTCTCTCAAAAGATATTAACATTGAAGAATGAGATTTAAAAATATAGCACAAGGAAAGGGAATTTGCAATGATTTGCATGTAACTGTCTTCAAAACCTTTTCATGCAATGTGCGTTAAAAACATCAACATTCTGAAGTGATAGAGAAGAAAGCATGTATACTTTGGAAATAGAGAAAACGTTAATTTTCCCACTGTTTCTTCCAAGCAATAACATTAATTTTAATCAACACTTTTTAGCAGGAAGCAGAGGAATTACACTATTCTTTTAAAGTTCAGTTTCCATTAAACTCTTGCTTTTACCTGAAAATACAAAAAACTGAATTTACTGAGGAAATTGAGTCAGTCATTATTTCCTACCTTCCTCTGTCATCATTCAGGAGTGGAATTGCAGTCCTACAGATATTCCACATGATACGCTGAACTGTTATCCCCATAGCCATTGCCACAACAAAGTCCTCTGTCATCAAAGCAGAGTGACAGGTTTCTATAAAGGGTGATAGAACTCACCAGCAGGCCCTAATGTCCCTGGAGATGCTTACCTTTCTAGAGGCAACACACATTAGCAAAAATGCAAGGAGGCATCTAGCTTGGCTCTCTTCAACATCTAAAATGGAGAAAGAGGAACAGTGCTTCATGAAAGGCTGTTGGTAGATGCAGAGCATCATGTTAATAGCTCTCTCCGTTCAAAGCGCCAGTTTTCTCTCTGCACGAACAGCAGACCTGCTATGAAGTCTACTATGAAAGCCAATAGCAATTAAATGTGACACCTACCCTCTAAGAACAAAAACAGACTAATTTTAAATGAACTTGTTGACAAATGATTATATGAGCCAGCAGCATGCCCAGGTGGCCAAGTAGGCCAATGGCATCCTGGCTTGTATCAGGAATGGTGTGGTGAGCAGGACTAGGAAAGCAATCCTGCCCCCATATTCGGCACTGGTGATGCCTCATCTCATGTATTGTGTTCTATTTTGGGCACCTCTGTACAGAAAGGACATGAAGTTGCTGGAGAAGGTCCAAAGAAGGGCAACAAGGCTTGTGAAGGGCTTCTCACTCATGACAGGTGACAGGACAAGGGGAAAAGGCCTTGAGTTGTGCCAAGGGGAGGTTTAGATTGGATATAGGGAAAAGCTTCTTTACAGAAAGTGGTTAAGCACTGGAATAGGTTCCCCAGGGAGATGGTTGAGTTACCATCCCTGAACGTGTTTAAAAACCGTTTGGATGTGGTGCTTAGGGACATGATTTAGCAAAGGTTTGTTAGAGTTAGGGTAGTATGGTTAGGTTACAGTTGGACTTGATGGTCTTTAAGGTCTTTTCCAATCTGAGCAATTCTATGATTCTATGATTCTATGATGGGCCAGTTTATTAATGCAGAAAGTAATTCAGCTAAGTAAAAATTTGCCTATTAAGGTTGCAGTATAGCTTTTTTTTTCCTTTCCCAAATGGCTTTATCTTTTCACTTAACTTTATGACATAACCCATGCACACTCCCATTACTTGACAAAATGGGAGCTTTTTAAAGGTCCAAAGAGGCTCCTGTTGACTTCTAGTGCAAATCAGGCACTTTTTATTATCTCCCACTAGATCTATAAATGTGCTTACTTGTTCTGTACTATAAGGAAAAGAGGATTCCCCAGGCACCGGGTCATTAACGGAAGTGTTCTCTCTTTTTTTTGAACTAGACAAGGGGTCATGTTTAGTTAATGTGGACATTTTTAAGAAACATCATTAAATATTCAACATGACTCATTAAAAAGAGCCAGTGGCAAAATATCTTTCAGATGTGAAAAAATCCTAACTTTTATATGTGTGAGAATGTCTAAATTAAACCCATTTACTTTTCAAAAATCTCTGATTCTGTTTTTCATTATTATTCTACATTTCAAGACTCCTTCCTTCATCAAAGTGGTGCAAAAATTGTCTGTAGCCTCACATCTCCTTTTCCAAGCAGGCCACAGACTTCTGCACTGATTTGGTCTTTTCCAAAATAAATACTGCATTTTGAATTTGTTTCAGGGCAAAAGTAATTTGCAGCTGCAAAAGCTCAGAATACTGCAGAGCTGATACTGCAAACACATTGTAATTTCTGCTTCCAGTAAAGTAAAGGGTAGGCTGCAGCTGATTCGCACTCACCTTTTCTAGGTTGTCTTCATATTCCTTTTTCTCTCTTTTTTTTTTTAGTTTTTTCTTTTTCCATTGGATGGGTAGTTAAGTGCTCTGTCAATTAGTAAATTCTGAGAACTGGGTGATTTTCCAGACTTTAAACATGACGGTTCCCAACCACAAGGAAGAGGACAGGTGACTCAGTGCCTTTAGGTTACTGCATATGGTTCTTTGTTCATTCATATTTTTCAATCCATGCTGCAGCCCTAGAAAAGAAATGATTAAAAGTGAATGATCTAATGAAATTCAGGACTTGAGGAAGTGTTTTTTCCTTCTGCAGAACACTTATTACTGTAATTGCTCTATTAATAATGTCTCTAAATTTTGCAGAGCTGAAGGTTCTGCATACAAATCTATGACCGTCTAGACAATCTAGACTTCAACATTACTGAGTATCATTTTAAACATATAGCTCAGCTGCAACTCTGGGCTTTATCTCTTTATAAAATAAAAATATGGTCCATGTTTTCTTAAGAAAAATAATGGTAAAGATGAATCAGAATACCATTTACTAGTGTATCAGAATAAGTATCTCAAACCAGAATCCTCTGTTGTGTGTAACACTGTAAGCTGCTGCGTAATTTCAGATATCATGTAAGTTTATTAAACTGATTACAGTAATAACTATCAGGTGTTCCTCTGGAATGAAGAAATATCATAGAATGTGGAATAATTTGCCAACAATTACGTTACATTATTTCCAAATGGTGCATAAGCTGCTAAATGGAATAGTTCATTAAATGTTTCTTTAAAACTGCTGCCAGTGTGAAGCTATAATGCCAGCTATAAATTGCAGATTGAATTGTAAATATTTAGTATTAATGAGACTAGTGCAAAAGAGACATCAGATAAAATATTTTATTACTATAATTGTGATATAGGGCCCAAGGTGGATAGGAGTATGGCATTTAACCAGAAAATTTTTCTTAGTATCATAGAATGGCCTGGGTTGAAAAGGACCACAATGATCATCTAGTTTCAACCCCCCTTCTATGTGCAGGGTCTCCAACCATCAGACCAGGCTGCCCAGAGCCACATCCAGGCGGGCCTTGAATGCCTCCAGGGATGGGGCATCCACAATCTCTTTAGGCAACCTACTCCAGTGTGTCACCACCCTCTGTGTAAAAAACTTCCTCCTAATATCTAACCTAAACCTCCCCTGTCTCAGTTTAAAACCATTTCCCTTTGTCCTATCACTAGCCATTCCCCTTCCTGTTTATATGCTCCCTTCAAGTACTGGAAGGCCACAATGAGGTTTCCGCAGAGACCTTCTTCAATATGCAAGAAATTCATCCACTCTTTCTCACTATTTTTTTCCTTTAGTAAATCTCTACCAAAACTTCCTAAAAATCAGTGCTTATTTTCAGATTAGTTAAACTATTCAGTGTGAATACCATGCAATGTAAAACATAGCTCTTAGATTTTATTTACGTACAATTAATAAGTCAGTTCTGAGATTAGCAAGTCATTTCTGACTTCTCTGGATGTATATATTTTTCCAAGTAGCTTATTAATACAAATATCAACTTATGAATATCCATGAAACCTCAACTTCATCTCTTTCATTATTGTCTTCTGTTAGTCATCCATTATTGTGTTTTCCCCTCTTTTCAATACCTTAAATGTTTGAAGATACAATGACGTAGACTCACAAATCAAACTAAAAACTTACAAATATACCTCTAAATGCATTTCATATTAGCTTAATGTTTGTTCCTGACTTTACATCACATTTTGCAACATAATGGGGAAGGGGAATGATTATTGAGGAAGAAACAAAGGTTGTGTATCTATATCTCAGTCAAATTACAAGCAGTACCTCTGTATTAATACTTCACTACACACTGCAATACTTTAAATGGGGGAAAAATCACAATATGTTTGTTAATTTACTTAGTTTACACAGTTAGAGACAATTGAAATATTTCTGAAAATATAGGGGATAGTATATACAAGATTTTTAGTTATGTTTGTTTTTAGATTATTAGATATTATTAGATTTATCTAGGCCTTGTATGTTTCCAAGGCAATATTAATGGCATTTCTTTTTTCAGTTCTGTCTTTCAAACAGTTCCTCAGATTTGTATCTGTGTATGATCATACAAAACATGGCACATGTCACCATAAACAGACAGAAAAATCACTGTTTTACCCCATTTTGAGCCTGGAACAATCAGTAAATGTAACAGCTGCACAGTGCACAGAATAAAGAACGTACTGTACACACTGATACAAATCACTTCCAGCTAACATTTTATGATATGGATCTACAATGTGTTTGTGGCTGAACTTGTAATTAGCTCAGTGGACAGATGGAACAAGCTGAAATGATGAAGTGCCCATAAAATGATTCATGCCACCTAGTGTTTGCACACTGGAATATGGTTTATTCACCAGAGCTTTTCCTCCATGGAAATGCATTAAAGCCCCAGTCTGTGGCATGCACAAGGAAGAGAATGCCACATTGATCAACTTTAAATGACGAAGTGTTTGCTAATCATAGTGGCAAGTACTCAGAAGAAAAACAAATTTAAATGTTTTGTAGGAAGGCTCAAAAACATTTGGTAGATCTGAATGTTTCCACAAGCATTTATTAAAATATCAGTACCTTTTGTTCAGTTTCTCAACAATAACTATGAACAACTTCCAGTGCCTTTGGGTGATATTTCAAGGCAGCAAAGTTGTGAGTGCAGGGATGCTCAGCTGCATTGCCAGCTGAAACCAGATATTCACAGCTGTGTTCTCAGCGACAGTAATGTGCCATACCCATTGCTGTACGTCAAGGTGAGAGTACTGATGTGACTTGGGAGGTTCTAGGCTCCACTGTTGATGCTGAGGAGAACATCTGTTTTCAGCTCACCATGCCTTAATTTTCCCATCTGTAAAATGGGGATAATAAATTATATTTTGCACAACAGACATGCGAGTTAGCACATAGTTCACTAGCATCTAAGAGCATAACAGGATTTGCTGGAATGTACAGTAAAAACTAGTTAAACCGACATTAATTCTCAGCAGCAGATAATCAACAGGAAAAATGACAAATTTTCTCATTCTCTATCATTTGTAAGCTTCTGGTAAATTGAGAACAGCTCTAAATTAGTCATGAAAGCTGCTTTTCCTGTCTGAATCTGGTTTCCAAACACATTAATTTATGTCTGCTAAATACAACTTCATCATTTACAAATAGAAATGCCCCAAAAGAGGGCTGTGCAATACAATGGTCTCCCAGTCTAAACATCACTAACATTCCTAAGATTCATAGTTTCTAAGTTTAACTCACTAACTTTCAACAGAAGAGAGATTACAGGTCTTGTGTAGAGTAATACTGAAGGCACTAGTCAGTGACAATGCTGAGTAAGGCCTCAGTTCTCGTGTTTATGGACTGCAGTCTTGTGTTATTTTGGGAAAGAGTTTAGCCCAAAAGCATGAAGAGACAATGTGTTTAATGTTACCATGAAAAATGAACAAACAGGTGTGAATTTGTGCCCCTAAGAGGGAACATTAATCATTTTATGAGAATTATGCTTAGAGGATCATGATGGATTGTATAAACTTGTTCTGTGATTACTAACAAAATACTCATTTTTTACACTATCATATTTGAATAACTGATATATATACATCATTTAAAAATATATATATATGGAAAAAAATGCCCGAACACCTTAGCATCTCTGCACTGCAATATATCCTTTGTTACAGTGGAGACCCCAGTAAAAGGACTGCAGTAAATGAAAAGACTACATCTGCCCTTCACACTTTTTGTCTTTTTTCTTAGAAATGCATTTTGTTTGCTTGTTTGAAATCACCACCGGTCAGATTCTAATATAATTCAAAGCCTGATAAATACAGAATGAATAAGAATTTGCTATCTCCATCCGTTAAGCTTGTTCTGTTCCCTATTGGAAGTTGTCAAGGCCAGAAACATGGCAAACGTAAGATGAATAGCTAAAAAGGGAGTGCAGTTTCTACACACATGTACAAAAAGAGGAATGAAGGGAAACAAGAAGGAAGAGTGGGAGGAAAGGAGAATCAAACTGAGGTTTTTTCACAGTTTCAAGGCTTGAAGCGGATATACAGCATAATGAAAGTTTCCTAGCAGAAAGAAAGAGCAATTAGGAAATTGTAAGAAAAAAATGTTTTTCTAAGAAAAATATCATAACAGATGGCAAAGTGCTTGTGCTATAATTTGTTCAGAAGTAATAAAAAGTAAGTATGATGAAATAGCATAAAAACAAGGAAAGAATCCACTTCTATTAGCAGAAAAGTATAATTAGAAAATATAAGTTGCAGCAAAATATAAAATGAGAAAAATGATCAGGTTTATTGAAAATAAATTCACTCTTTTGCAGCAATTCTAAAAAAGATAACATCACTCAGCAAAGAAAGTACAATATATTGTAAATATTTTAAATACATATGTATTCTCTGCAAAATTATTTGCCTTGCCACTGAATTTATGCAAAAATTTAAGGCACGCTTCATGAACCAGCTGATGCATGACTCTGCTTGAATTTTCACAAAGCAATTTACACAACAAATAATATACTATCTGCAAGTAAAAAAAAGAAAATGTGGATGTAAAGCTTAGAGTGATTTGTTAACAAAGGTCGGACTACAGACAGACCATTAGAACACTTATAAAAATTAAATTCGAAGAACTGTATCACACTTTTCAACTTCTTATCAAAAAGAGACGAGAAACACTATGTCCTTGTGAGAAGGCTTCTTCACGTTTTTCTAACTGGGATTACTCATGTCCTTCCACTCTGTGGTGCATGAACAATGGTCACTGTCAAAAACACTGCAATACCTTGGCTGAATTAATATGTTATGACAATGACAGTGACCTTAATGCCCCTCTGCAGAGACTGAGGACAGGTGGGTTGGGTCACTGAGCTCTGCTTTAATCTTATCTGGTATCTTAGCCAGGCTTTTGAAGAAGAATGGGAACTGCATAAAGATGTCTATATCACCCCTGGACTGAT